TCTCGCCGCGGATGACCGTCGAGTTGGGGAACGCGTTGCCGAGCAACAGCAGGTAATGTGTAATCTCACGCAGGTCCAGAAGTCAGCGTCATTTGCTTGACACACCTCAAGTGCCAGAAGACTTGATGTTACAAGTGATTAAGACGTTTATCATTGTATCCTGAGAATGAGCGTTAATTTGTATTATCGTCTAGACTGTGATGCGTTTCAGGTGCGTTTGCAATTAGCTGTTGTAATAACGGTTTGTATTAACAGTTGTGTTTCAGATTATTGCAAAAAGTAAGAATCTGTTAACAAAGTAATTTCTGCTTAGTGCAACTATTTTCCTGTTCGTTGGCAACGGCTGATGTCAGTATTAGCTTTCTGAATTCGGGTGTAATCTCTTGGTTCAGTATTGTTTAATCGGCTTGTTCCAGTAAGTTCTTGTAACTCGTGCACAGAAGAGAGTAGTTGCTCGTATATGGTCTGTTATACATCTGTTGATATTAGCTGCAAGTGGGCTTTGATTCGTAGTTTTAGACATAATTTGGTGATTATTAAATGTATGTGCTTGCAAAATGTATGAGGTAAACCAGTGTCCAAACACCACGATATAGTGTGCGTGGAGGCTCGACGAATTTTCAGCATCAGAACCTGTTGGAGGTGAGTGGTCAGATTAACGCGCTGACCGCCTTTCCCCCTTTTTAATAATTTCTGGTTCCCAGTGAAGACGAGGCTGAGTCCATCCTGTAGCCAGCCGATCAATCTGTGGACTCGGTTATCCCAGCTCACGATAACATTTTAATTTCATCTGTGAAAGTATTTATAGGATTTATTATTGGAATTTCTGTCACCATGGAGCAGTGCCCTTAAGGAACTCGTAGTCGCTCATCTAGTCAATAAATTGTCAACCTTTTATAGACCCAAAGGTTCATTACTGTGTTCTAAATTCTCTTGTCGGTGGATCCCATATTGAGTCACGTGGATCCACTCTGCACCCTAACTCTTATGCTCGAGGTCCTGGGTTCAAATCCTCTGGAAATCATAGTTTGGTATCCTCACATTCAATGCTATTTAGTTTGAGATACTTAAAGCATAAAATAAATTACGAATAATAAAGTATGAAAAAGATTGCCCTTTCGTTTGCAAACACCTCTATTTCTGGTCATGCCAAAAGTGGTTTTTCTGCAGTGAGCTGGGAACATGGCATGGGTGTGTGAATTGTGGCCTAATTAACAAGAAGACTGGCCTCTTAGGCTCCCTTAGGTGATTCATGAAAATGATACTGATGCAATTAGTAAGTCCAGACCGGAGGGAACAGGTTCATTGCACGTTTTACGTATAAGGTCAAAGCAAAGTTGCATCATCAGCGTGATTCCAAATTAGCTGTGCTGGAAAAAAACAAGCATAACAATGATGAAGATTAACGTATATCATACTTGAGCATGAAATTTTTATCAAAAGTGAAAGTGGTTGTAATATTGAAACGTGTGCTGATAACGAAAGTGGAAATGAGCACACATGTTGCAAATAAGTACGTTGTTTACAAATTTGTTATCTGTTCATAGCCTTGACATTTATTTGTTTTGCAAATAGAAGTAAATTTATTCTTGTGAGATTTGTTGCGTATTTTACCGGAAGTAGTCGCTGTACTGTTTACTTTTGTGGTTGTTTTTGTACGAGAGGTATCTAATGAAATTTGCTCCAAGGCTGGCTGCCATATTTTTATCGTTAGCATGCGTATCGTCATTGAAGTGTAATGTACAGTCCAATGTAATGTCTGGTTTAAAATCGGTACATCAAACGTATTGTGGGTCACCCATGCTAAAATATAAAATAACATCCAAAGTCTTTTACTTGCTTTATTAAATGTTTTTACTTTGCTACTGTGCCGATGCTGTTAATATCATTAGTCACCAGTTTACGCGTAGTTCATCGAACGTCGAGGCCTAGTGATCAGCATTGTCTCACATTCAGTGGGTCTCGGATTCAAATCTCAGCCCGGACACTGGCCTTCCTAAAATGGTTTTCCTCAGTCCCTATAGGAAAATGCCGGGTTAAAAGGCTAACCTTAAACTAGACCACAACTGTATCCTTCCACGTGTTTTTTTATAGAACCTCGTTATATTTGTAAGCCGACAATACATTATGCAGTAATATGCATGCCGGCAACCGTGGCCAAGTGGGCAACCCTTTAAATTACAGTGGTAAATATTTGTACCACATGCTTTAACGTTCAGTATATCTGTATTTTACCTACACCATATTTGTGGGTTTAGTATTATTCTCAGAATAAACAGGAATAACCGGTTGATGTTTGTAATGTGTTCTGTCTTCTTTGCGGACTAAATGTTTAAATGTTTACTAGATGAGGAGCTGCTTCGAAGAGTTCAGTAGTATTATATAATTTAGATTTATCTCTGGGAGCGTAGGTTCGAGTCCTATTAAAAATGGAGGTCGACATAATTTATTATAACCTTGTGATTTTAAAATTCACCTTCTTTTATGTTATGACTCTCAGTGATTCAAGCCCCTTTATTTTCCTTCCATCCCACTGTAAATTCCATGGAAACACCGTGTACTTTTCTCTCTCATTCCCCCTCCACCACGACGTTTTACAGTTAAATTATTTTGGCATTTATAATCTCATTCGTTTTGTTTTCGTGCCATCAGAACATTATACTTTGTTCTTTTCATTTTATTACTGGCTGTAGACAGAGTGGAAGGGGTCCAATACCCATCAGGGACAGGTCACATTTCGAGCGTCTTTGGGGCCATTCACCCTCTTATCAAGTTGGTAACAATGTCCCTTTCCCTTGTAATAAACGCGGCCAGAGCGTGAAGCTATTACTCGTTTGTAGCTATTGCTGATGTTTAGAATGTATGGAGCTTTGCCTCCACGCTACAAATACGTAACACAGAAAGTCACTCACGATTAATATTGCTGCTTGCTTCAGGATAGCATAACTTTGTGCTGGCTTCCGGTCACGTGAATGCATTATCCTTCATGCACTGAAGACCGACCGATGGAATTGTTACTAGGCCGTTAAAGTAATTAATTTATTTAGAAACAGTAAGGCTGATTTATGCTTTCAGAGGGTATTTAAAGAATTTATCTGACAAATTTTTATGAGGAACAATATTGTATTTGATGTTCTCACTGCCCGGAAGTTGTGGGATGTTGCGCTGTGTAGTCTGGTAGATGTTTACCAACGTTTCAGAGTAACGTAAAATAGATGAGGAATTTATTCACAATTTTAGGTTAGGTTTCCTGTACCGCTTGGGAGTGAAGCCTCAACTAGCTGGCTAACGATTAATTTTATCTGGTCGGTTCTGCTGTCTTCAGTTTATGGAGTACCATTGAACCACGAAAGTATGTTTTCGTACTGCTAACCTAACCTAACACGGTTAATATGAAGGGAAGGACGTGATTGACCTCCTAATTATGCGTTTCATTGACACTGTAAATGGAAAAGTTCGATCTTATTCCCGGCACTAGACAAGATGGAAGTTAGCTATTAGCTTAGCGCACCGGCCGTCTCTTGCATTCTTGGATGAGCTGCTTCAGTGTTATTGCAACAGATGTTTCGCAATTCCGTCATGCTGTCAAGTATACTAACAGAGACAGTCTAAATATAATTATGCACACTCACCTTTCTGCATGTAACTGTCTTGCCCCATCTTATATTAGTGCCATCGTGTATTGAACACGACGCAAAATTTATTGTTTCCCAATATCAGTGAAAAACCATCTCTCGTCGCGTGGTATTTGTGACGCCAAATTATTTAACTACATACTCGTAAGCCGGTCACCAAAAGACTTGCGTGCATCAACTTATCTTACAGTGATTTAGAGAATATGTTTTGGTTATTATATTATGGCAATTGATAATAATATCACTAATAACAATTTTGCTACGTGTTTCCCAGTTGAGCACAGTTAAAACGCGATTTGCGATACAATTTTCTGCCATCTCATCCTCCGAATATTTTCCCACAATTTCTGTAATTTGAATTGATATTGTTTTTGGATACCTCTGTTTTTACATATCCCGGAGTAAAAAGTTCTACTGATCTCAGAAAACACGTTACATAAGCTTGTCATTCCGTTATCTCCTGCTGTTGTTTAAAATCTGTGGAATGAATTGCCAGTTTTTTAATAGACACGGTGCCTATGGAAATCATCTCGTCTCGCTTTTGTGTCGCGAAGTTGTTTTCTTTTGTGTGATTTCGTAAGAAATACGTCTCATCTGGCTTTACGATGAAGGGAAAGATAATTACGCGTCAAGTCGTTGGGTTGGTATATAAGGCTTTGCGGTCTGGCAGGGAGAGGGAGTTGCTGAATTGTTTACGGTCGACAGCGCACGCGCAAGTCTGGCTACCTGTTTGAACCAACCGTACTCGCGGTGTGTTCTACAACAAGTGATTTGAACTGGTTCTGTTCTACGTCCTTATGTGTATAAGCCCAGTGTTAAGAGTTCGGTTACGAGGTAAGAAGAGACGAGAAATTCATTGTGAGGTTACCTGACAGCTGGTATTTGGAAAGAAAGTGGTGTAGAAATGGGTACGCGCACGTCACGACACGTTAAGTCTGTTGCCCGCGGCATCGTAATGGAAGTGACATTTTGGTTGATATTCAGTGCTGCTACTACCACGTGTCAGCCAGTTCAGACCCTTGATGAGATACTACAAAGTGGTGAGTAAGTTTTCATTAAATGCTCTGCGTCATTCATCTAGCAAGTAGCCTCGTGTGAGGCTGGATTCTCCGAAAGAGAATTATCAAGATTCCAGTAAAATGGGACAGAAATATTACAGCAAAGTATATGCATTCCCAGAACCTAACCTAAGAAGCATGTGATTTAGGTCGAAGTATGGAGCATTATGTTCAGGGTGTTCATAAAAGTACAACACACAAGAACGCTGTACACTTAAGTAGACCTTACATAATTACGTCATTAATAAATCCATAATCATACATTATATTCAGAAATAAATAAAATTACGCTACACTCTAAATATATTTTGTTAAATTAATACACTGAGTAAATTATTATGTACATAAATTGTCCACACTTCGATCATTATTCGTTGAATTTACATATACTATAGATTATTTCTCATGTACGAAAATATTACCCCACAATTGTACAGAACTGAGATTTGCAGTCGAACAAATGTTTAGTGGATAGACGTTTATTTTTTTTAGGCTAAGCGTCTTGTGTAGATTTCTTCCATCATAGTGGGCCCTTTGTTATTGACTACTTGAATATCTGAAATAGACTTTCTTTCTCACAACTGGGGCTGTATGTAATTATGGGGGTCAGTAGTCTATCCTTATGACGTTATGTTAACTTATTGCAGTTTATCTCTAAATTTTTATAATGTTTTGGGAGAAGTTTTACAGTCGGTTTGGGTCTTAGATAAGATTCCCAACACCTGAGACTGGAAACACACGATTTACAACAAGTTTTTACTCTACATTTTTACGTGTTTTGACAACCGAGTTCTCCTATGGCCGTAGACTTATGGGACACTCTGTATAGTGCATAATACAAAGTATAACCAACGTTACAGGGTATAAAGCAACTCCACTTAAAAAAGTTAAATTTAACCCGACCTAATTTGGTGATATTAACTTATATTGCTTTGACTGTGAACTAATAACACGAAACTTCTCTGCAGTCACGTGCCCCGGATAGTCGAGCACGTGTATGAACGTGTGTCACAGGGAGGAACTCGGATCGAATCCTGGCCAAGTTACCGGTTGCTTTCGCTGCGATTTTCCTCAGCTTCTTCAGGGATATATTTGGATATTATCTTAAAACACACAGGACCTTTTTCTTCTGCAGCAAACCAAACTGACTCTTAGGCCTATGTCTCCAAGACTGTCATTAACAAATGCTGAGGTTAATGAGACAGAATAATTGAAAAACGCATCAGTGAAACAGTGGACCCCTGTAGGAAAACAATGGTAATGGATTTCTGAAAGTTTCCATTTAATTTGCCTGGAAGAACGAAATGAACCTGTGTGTTAGTTATTTGAATGAGTTCTGTCATCTTTCGCAATATTCATTGCTGACGACCGCGTCCTTCCAAATCCTTTCCAATTCATCATTCATGAATCCTATCTTTCGACGCCGTGTAGTCTGAGATGCTGACAGCGTCGTTAAATGAACACATTTAAAGATAAATTTCTTCTCTCAAAGGAACAGTGACTTGAGTTCTATCGTAATTTTTTCCTCAGTCACTCTAGACGAATGCTGAGATAAAATTTTAATAAAAACCACGAACTCCTACTTCCAAATATTCGTCAGTTCACCTTTCTTGAAATTCTTTTCATCCAGTTTAATGCTATAAAACTGTGCAGTTGAAACGGTGTCGTCAAAGAATCCACCAACAACCCTCAATATTCATTAAGACTTGCAGTCTGTACTTGATGACGGAACAGGCGTGTAGTTTTGATATTTGATACCGGAAGGTAATGAAATCAAATGGCGTACGAAGAAGGGAATCAGACGACAGTGACTTTAACAATCGACACGCCGACCAAATATCGATTGTGTTGATTTTGACGGGAGATATCGATTGTGAGGCTGACTCTCTGAAGGTTTATGTCAGTAAAGTCACTGATTGGCTTCACGTGACTGGTTGCAAGATTTTAATTTATTCTAAAAATATTGTAGATTATCGTGAACTCTAGGATGGAAGGAGCGACCATTTCGTAAAAAAAAAACTCGTTTACAGCGTTATTATTTGAAAGGTTCCAGGTTCAGTATCGACTGTTAAAAATTACAACAAATTACGTGAAAAATGGTGTAGAAATAATTCCCGAAACGTCGCTCATTACCTGGATAATAGGTGGACGGTCCCCTAAATCCGTTTCTGGGCATATAACCATTTTTCGTTCATTTCTTTCCGTTGTGACTGGAGCTAGACGGTGCAGTGACGTTTCTGAGTCAGCTGTTGCTATGACGTGTCCTCTCTCGGCACGCGCTAATGTGACACACGTCACTGCGACCTTCAGTCTTTGCCCGATTACGTTTTGGCTTCAAATCCGACAGAACGCAACGTGGAGTCTGTTACTCGCTCACATAAAGAAAGGAACGCGCTTCTGGTCTCTATTTTAAAACATTCCACAAGGCCACCGGTACAAATGAACAGTACCGAGCGTCGTAACAAGAGATGTTACCACTTCCGGTTCGCGTATTTTGGTCAAATTTCGTATTGGAAGGTACTTGTCCGGCCATCCTCTTCTACGCCCTGCCTCAGAGAGTATAAGAGGTCCGCATTGAAAAATCTACAATCAAACAAGGAGCGAACATGCCACGCTCTGTACACTTTTGCGAAACGTGTTATCATCCTGATGATGGAGGCATTTCGCACCTTCGAAACGTCGGCAAAATTCTATGCGACCACTCGGCGCAGAAACCCAGAGGGCAGCCATCTTCACTAAAAATGAGTTGTATTTGCGATGTCTCGTGTGACGTTCCTGGTCTTTATCGTGGTTTTACTCAGATTCTCCAGCAGAATGTTGAGATGACAGTGGACGTAAGGAAACTGGAAGTTGGAACTACGTCGTAGTGTGAGGGGAAGGGAAGATTTGAAAGGTCTGTCTGTGAATGTACAGTGTGACTGAAAACATTTTACTTTCAATTTCGACACATCCGGTGGAATTTTGGTTCACTGACTTTCAGACCAAAGTGAATATTTTGAACCAAATGAATTGTAGATCACCAGCAATGCACAATAATTTCTCATCCGATAGTACATGAAGGAACTGGGGTATCTTTGCGTTGTAACTGTCCACGAAGCTCCGAGTTGCTTATGTCCACTGTATCTTAAAACAGGCTGCAATCACCTTATCTTATCATTCAGTGCCTGTGTTGCTAGGCAACATGGCTCCGGCCATGAGTAACTTCTCTTACCAAATCCAACTATCTGAAATGCAGATGTGTGATATTTATTCCAAGTCCCAATAAGGATTCTTCGTGAGGGCAAGTTATACTCGTATGTCAGTGCACTTGTTTATTAAATAAATGTTTTGCTGTCTCAGGGAAAAACTTGTGTGTATGAACAGCTCTGATGATGCCACATTAAGGTCTTAGGGCACCCACTGGCGCGATTAGCCTAAGATGGGAAGTTAGAATGCCGATTTATATCACGACTAACTTTGGTTAACTGTCTCTCCATGTAGCAGAATCCTTCTTTAAAAAGCAGGCATGCTTTCAGTGATTGAATTTTTGGCCTTATGTGTTCACAACAACCCACAATTTCTCCATATCCTGAACAAGATTAATCCAATTCAGACTCTCACCCTATTTTATTAAAATCCATTTTAATATTATCTTCCAAATTGTCTCCGACTTTTTGGCTTTCCAGTTCAAGTTTTGAACTCAGAAGCAGGTTCAGCGAAGGTATTCATAGTAAGTAAGGAGAGGGAGATTATTGCTTTTAAGGGTTTACTCAACGAATGTTTTCTTAACAGTTAGTAGAACACTTTGCTTGCGCGATCTTGACCTTGGTCACTTAGGCTGAGGGGCAACTAGGAAGACGACTCTCAAGATAACGCGCGTGTATTTGTTAAGCCGAACTTTCTAACAGTACGTGTATTGAATCAAGACATGGCAACTTCCGTCCCATTCAGTTAGATGTCAAACAAACCTCTACAGGTGAAACAACATCTTTAAATAACCACGAATTAACAAATTTAACTACCTACGCTTACCCATGTAAGGTTTTTTCAAGTTAGGGCAACTTTTAGATTTGAAGCGAGCGACCTGTAATGTTTGAAAATCCATTTAGAAATATGGCGACCTCTTCTCGAGAAACTGACGCTCAAACACTGAATATTAACATGACCTTGAATAAACAACTGTTCTCATTCATGTTCCCATGTCTGTTTCGTCTTCTTTGCTTGGCATTGTACTTTTCAGAGCCAGGTTTATTTCTGTAGAAGGGAGTACAGGTGGGAAATTTCCTAAAGTAAAGTCATTCTAAGGAGGTTATGATGAATTAGTAGTTCAAAAGAGGAGACAGGATTGGAAAAGATTTTGATGTGGAAAACCTCTCAAAAAGCGGTTTCCTGGAAGGATATAGAAGAATAGAATTCAGATAGGGATGTAAGATTTGAGGTTTTCACAGCCGTGAGTCTGAAGATTTCCGTCTTCTGGGTTGTTGCGCTGTGTAGTCTGGTCGATGTTTACCAACGTTTCAGAGGTCATACTGCCTCCGTCATCAGAGTATGAAGATTTCTGTCTTCTGGGTTATTGCGCTGTGTAGTCTGGTCGATGTTTACCAACGTTTCAGAGGTCATACTGCCTCCGTCATCAGAGTATGAAGATTTCTGTCTTCTGGGTTATTGCGCTGTGTAGTCTGGTCGATGTTTACCAACGTTTCAGAGGTCATACTGCCTCCGTCATCAGAGTATGAAGATTTCTGTCTTCTGGGTTATTGCGCTGTGTAGTCTGGTCGATGTTTACCAACGTTTCAGAGGTCATACTGCCTCCGTCATCAGAGTATGAAGATTTCTGTCTTCTGGGTTATTGCGCTGTGTAGTCTGGTCGATGTTTACCAACGTTTCAGAGGTCATACTGCCTCCGTCATCAGAGTATGAAGATTTCTGTCTTCTGGGTTATTGCGCTGTGTAGTCTGGTCGATGTTTACCAACGTTTCAGAGGTCATACTGCCTCCGTCATC